CAACAACCGCTTTGGAGATTCCGACGGTAGCGGGACGACCAGCAACGAAGGGTAAGAACAGTTCTAATTTACATATTTGCCTATAACAAGCATTTGGCCAACAGATAAATCCCTTGCAAAAACTTTTAAGACTTTTTTTAACCGACTGCAAAAAAGGAGGAGGTTCTCAATTCAAGTGTATGTTTTTGTTATGCTCAATCGCCTCTTTAAGAGCTAAAGCACAAATTGGCGTCTGGGAGTTCTTGTAAGTTTGTCTATTGAGAAGCCGTTATCAAGCATTTATAAAACTTATTAGGTAGTTTTTAGTCGCTTTAAAATACATTGAAATAATCATACATATCAAGTAGTTAGTGCAATATTTGATGTTTAACTATCTTACTAAAATTATTAACAATGACAATATTTATCTATAGATTGACCTTCTAACAACCTAAGTACTAACTTTCTTTCTTGAACACACGTACTTTCCAGAAAGCAGCATTATTCTGTGACCATCGAAAAAATACGACTGCGTACACTAACACCCGGCGAGATTCAAAAGGTTTAAATTACAGTACAATCGCCTTCCAACGCTACCCAATATTTAATGGCAACACTAAAATCTACACACAATGCAGTTAAACGTCACAACGAAAAATACTATAGCTTTTAAAAAAAATTATATGCTACCGCGGTGGAAATTCAATGTCACACTCACACATATGCGTTCGCCATACATATGATATAAAGGTGAGTATGGACTAGAGCATTTCCATGTAATCTAACGTTCTTACAAATGGAACAATACAGGTAAACTGTACGGCGTTTGGTTCGTGAAAGGATGAAAAGTAGAACATAATCATAGAGTTGCGCGTGGTTCTGTTACAAGTAAATGCTCTAGTCTATACTCACCTTTATGCACACCGATGCAAACATACCGAATCAGTTTATGAAGTTTGTAAAACATGCTATTACCGATCTCCACAGCTTACTCACACATCTACACATTTTTTAGCACAAACTATAGCACCCTATACTTACATGACTAAAATATAGTGCACTATTACACTAAATGATATTTATTTATTTTTATGATTCTGTTTTCAAGTTATAGCCTGACCAGGAACATAAAAACCCTCGCCATGTTGCGGAAAACTAATGGTACTAATTTCTTTTAATGGCAACAGTAACTGAAACTTCATTGATATGTCACCTTGCATGTCAGTCTATTCTGTCAAAGTGTAAACAAAGTTTATTTTAAATGTGCGCAATTGGTTTTATGAATTAAATTGCTAAAATCTTTTTATAGTCGTGAAAGAAAAGTGGTTCTAGGNGTTGGAGACATTCTCATGTGGCAATGGGCAGGGCACATAGTACGCAGAACTGACGGCCGATGTGACAGCAAGGTTCTAGAATGGAGGACTCGTACCGGGAAACGCAACGTGGGACGTCCACAAGGTGTACCGACGATATCGTAAAGGTAGCAGGGAAGCGCTGGACGCAGGCCGCTATACCAATCGATCAACATGGAAAGCATTGGGAGAGGCCTATGGCTGAAATGATGATGATGGATATATCATATCATGCGCTATTAAAAAGATGACCAAATATGAGCTATGTTTAGAGGCTCATACGTATACTATGATTTGTAGTCAGTGAGGACATTTAGTGGTATTTTTTTCAACTCTTGGGATTATCAACACAGGACTCTGTGTAAAATTACTTACGATTTCCTTCTCGTAGACGATAGTGTGTAGTTCGGTCTCGTTGGCAGAATCCTCGAACACAGAATTCTGGGAGCTGTCCATACTGCTGCGAGCGGATTCCGTAGACGCGCGGGTCACTGGTCTCGTTGGTTGTGGCGCTTTCGCTTCTGCCGCTTTACCTGAAATTATTGACAAATAAATAAAACATAACTATATATTTTTCGCACACTCACTGCGGGCGCGCGTCGCACAGTCGCGACAGCAACATAATTACGCGCGAGCGATAGGGATGGGTAGCTTGGGGTCATTGGACGGGAGTCTACGTGCTCACGGACCAGGCTTTAACATGACTCATCCTCAGCAACTGAACATGAACAAATATCAGCTGGGCTCGTCCCCAAAGTCCTGCCACGACAACCATCGACCGATCTATGCATCCCTGTCACTCGCACCTAAAGTATGGGAGTTAGAGTAGTCCAGCGATTAGGCGCACTTAGAATAGATGAAAAGGTGTCCTAAGCTTGTTCATACTTTCAGGAAGTGTATGTAGTTGTCAAGGTAGGTAAAAATAGCTTACTTCGAAAACTACTGAGCAAGTCTGAGTCTATGGTTATTAGAGACGATGTCTATTGCAAAATTACACAAACGATCATTATCTAACTAAACCAAGTAAAAATCCTCTGAAATAAGAATAAGAACTAAAGTACGGCCAACGAGAAGCGATACCAAATGTAAACAAACCCAATGTCATGGGTGAACCCGTCTGACTTTGACATATTTTGGCGGGAGAACGAGACATTACGACAAATACACAAGATGGGAAGAGACAGAATATATTGTCAACTCGACAGTCGTATCGACCTTTTGTATCGCTGCTAGTTGGCCGTACTTTAGACTCTAGTCCTACCTTTAACTTTTCGCTTCGGTTCTTCCTTCTTCGTTCGGCTCTTGGTGGATCCGTTAGACTCCGTGCTCGAGGCAGACTGTAGGCCCCTCGTGGATTTCCGTATGGTCACGTTTGAGACATCTAGGTCGAGCGGCGGCGATTGCAAAGACTCGTTTGGCGAACTGTCTTTTTTGTCCTTCGCTGCGTCGGCTTTTGCTTTCAGTGCTGGAGAGTAGAAAAAATGTTTATGAGATGTAACTCATATAAAGTTAGAGACATCTTCTAGACAAGCTCACACCATTATAGATTGTATTTAAACGCTTTGCAAGAGATTTTTATCCAGAATATTAAAAAAAAATAGAAAAATTCATTAATTTAGCAGTTCTATAATAATGACGTAGATTTTGGCTTTCTCGAAAATTCACAATGAGACTCTAGGAACTGTTTTTACATACTCGTGTTAGGCTAACCAAAAACATGAAATAATCAACCTATATACGACAGTGTTGTGTGTAATATACCTCTATCTATATCCACCAAAGACCGTTGCGATCGGCTTCTTTTGACGCCGCCCTTTTCATTGTCCGGTTGGACCTTCGCTTTGCCTTTAGGCTCTTTGCCCTTTTTAGTACCCTTCGTACTATCTGTGCTAGCTTGTTTATTGATTGATAGTTTCTTTTTCTTGCCTGTAACAAACACAAAAGTACTGTTTCTATGGCAAATACAGTTTATTTATGACTATCAAAAAAGGAGTTCTAGATGTTAATCAAACTTTAGTATCTTGAATAAATCGGAAAAGAAATTAGATTTCGTTCTTCGAGAGGAACATTCGGTCTGATTGAATCATATCAGACACTTATAACGGCTAACACCCACACAATAGAAGAATATCAATAAAGAACAACAATTTTATTCCAAACCCTGTACTGAAACGGAAAACTAGGACAACAATTTTCTTTACTTTCTTGTTTTGTGTGGAGTACAAAAAAGTGTTTATCTATAAATCTATTTACATTTGCCTCAATAGATTGTGTAGAAAGAACTTACTTTTAGTAACTTTGGGCTTCTTCAAAGGCGACACTCCGCTGCTGCTGGAATCTGAAGGAGCGTCGTCTACTTTGTCGCTTGTCTCAATTTCCGAGGACGGCCGGTTCGATTTGGGACTGCTTGTCTCTACTGGTGGTTGCTCTGTCAACGGAGACATTAATAATAATAAATGTTTATTTCAGAAATAACTTTCCATACTGGGTTAGTAGTTACATTAATTAATTTTCACACAAACTGCCAACCTACGTCAGGTTTGCGTCATCGTACCTACAAAGTAAGTGCTACATCTCAAAGTGAAAATGGTGTTTAAGATCCACTAACAAAACACTTCATAAAGTAACCAATTAATTAATTTTGACAAATTATTTCCTATTTTGAGCTCCAAGCTGAGCTCTGAATGTGTATGGACTAATGTTTGCAAGATACGCTACCTTCTTTCTTAACCTGTCTGCACATCGTGAGGAATTTAGGGCAATTATTCCTTTTTGTGGACATATGGATGTCCTATGGCTGAAATGATGATGATGATGATTCCTTTTTGTCTCTGGTAAATTAATGTCCTCCACCTGAAGTGGACACTCAATGACCTGATGATTATGATAATGATTAATATAATTATATTACCTTCAATCCTGGACACAGTTTCTGGAGGCGTGGTCTCGTCAATCTCTACTTCTTCTTCGACGGTTTCGTTGATGACGACGTGGGTGCTACGCGCGAGTGGTTGCGCTATAAAATAATAACCTTTTATTAATCTTGATGATTTTTTATTATAATAAATTAAGAATTACACTAAAAACAGCTAAACGACTAATGACTATAGCTAGTAACAGAACTGAGTAAGAATATGTAGTTGTACTGTACAATATAGAAATAACTACGTTACGTTACAGTCAGCGTCCAATAATTCGTGACACCCAAAGGAGCTAAAAAGTCGCAACACATTTTTGCTTTTGTTGCAATTGAAATAAGGTTGTGTTGTCAACTTTTGGCCACTTTGGATGATACGAACTATTTGACGCAGACTGTACGACACTATAAATTAACCACCAGAGATTAAAGATTTATATTAACCGAACATACTTGCACACAGCTTGAAAAATAAGCTAGACGGTCGACTAAATCGGAGACTTGATAATCTTTCTCCTAGACAAAAAAATATAAACATTTGACGTAATAAGATCTTAAATAATGAAATATTTTATTTGACTGGCCTAATATATTTGTAATTTAAGTTTGTTAACTTACGTAAGGAAGTCGTTGCTCGTCCTATGGGACCTATGGTGTCTTCGCCTTGCATTGTTCCTTCAGTAATACCTGATAAAGAACCAACATAATATAATGTTAATATTTTTATATCGATTTTAGACATATAGATCGGTAGTGTTCGTCAATATATCAAAAAGTATATGTAAATTATGTTCAATTTACCTGTATTCGACATCTTGTTGAGACTTGCCCGCTCCATAGCCTCTAGCGAGCCTAAGTAGCGGGTAAGGTTTCGGCAAGATTGCTTGTCTGGCAGTTTCTGTAAATTAAACAAGAAATTATAAACATGGTTAAGTTATAATAGCACATACGAGTAGTTATGTCACACACCACAAACAAACAGAAACTCAAATCTGGCTATAATCAGAAGTATGACCCCTGTTAAAAGAAGCTGACTCTATGTAGGTGGCAAGCACCACGGCGAGCATTCAATACGCTCGCGCTTCTTCAGAAGTAGCTGTACCATTTAGTACTATAGACATATAGGCTATAATAGTCTGCATTTACCGCACACAAGTCTCTCAGCATAGCCGCCAGTTCGATGGCAAGCTGTCCGTCCCTAGGAGGTGACAGTAGAGCGAGCATTCGGCAGGCCAGACCCACTTCAGTCAACATCCTCCGAGACTTGAGCAGTAGTAGAACATCACTATTATACAGGGTGTCCCAAAAACAATGGATAACCCTGTAACCATCGATAGGCCTCGCCATGGTCTCCCTAACGTCCAATTTTGACCCTAGTAAAAATATCACAGTTTTCAAGATTTTTAAGTTTTTGTGCATTTTCAGAAAATTGTCACCTGCGATTACTTTTTCTCATGCCATTTCTACGAATGAGGATACTTTTCAATCTAGTTTTTTTCCTTATCACAAGGGATAGTTGGGCTATCAAAAGAAAAGATTAAAGTTCAACAAACTAGTTTAATAGTATGAAAATTTTAAGAAATTGCAGAGAAGAAGGAAAAATTAATTCATTGTCTTGCACTTTTGATCAGCCGTCGTGTAAAAAAAATGTAGGAAGACCATCGTGCCCATTACCTTAAAAACTTCCTTGGTTAATTGAGATTCTAAAAAGGTATCACAAGCCTATGTATTCTGTATTATTTTTATCTTATGGCTACTTGAATAGCAACTAGTATGAAAACTGCAAAAATGAGTTTTTCTCGTAATAGTTAAACTAGGACTGCATAGTGGCATTAAATACAAATGGATAATTTTTAGCGTAGGAATTTTAATAAAGCAACATTTTATCATCATCATTTCAGCCATAGGACGTCCACTGCGGAACATAGGCCTGTACCCCAATGATTTTCATAATGACCGCTTGGTAGCGGCCTGCATCCAGCACCTTCCTGCTTACCTTTATGACGTCGTCGGTCCACTTTGTAGGTAGACGTCCTACGATGCGCTTTCCGGTACGTAGCCTCCACTTTAATCCTGCTGCCTCAGTTCTGCAACCTACTGTGCCCTGCCCATTGCCACTTCAGCTTGCTGATCCGTCGACTTTAGTTCGTTTACGGATCTCCTAAATTCTGATACGGTTTCGTGAAGAAACCCGAGCCGAGTATAGCCCCTTCCATAGCACGCTGTCCAAAAAATTCACGTTTCCGAGCCGTGTATTATCACGGGTATCTGTCTATAGGCACATTTATAAGGTTTCAAACAAAAATTAAGTAATCACAAATACGCAGAACGGACGGCCAATGGGGCAACAGGGTTCAAGTGGAGGCTACGTACCGGAAAGCGCATCGTAGGACGTCTACCTACAAAGTGGACCGACGATCTCATAAAGGAAAGCGGGAAGGTGCTGGATGCAGGCCGCTACCAAGCGGTCATTATGAAAATCATTGGGGTACAGGCCTATGTTCAGCAGTGGACGTCCTATGGCTGAAATGATGATGATGATGATGATAAAATATTGCTTTATTAAAATTCCTGCGCTAAAAATTATCAATTTGTATTTAATGCCGCTATGCAGTCCTAGTTTAACTATTACGAAAAAAACTCATTTTTGCAGTTTTTATACTAGTTGCTATTCAAGTAGCCATAAGATAAAAATAATACAGAATACATAGGCTTGTGATACCATTTTAGAATCTCAATTAACCAAGGAAGTTTTTAAGGTAATGGGCACGATGGTCTTCCTACATTTTTTTTACACGACGGCAGATCAAAAGTGCAAGACAATGAATTAATTTTTCCTTCTTCTCTGCAATTTCTTAAAATTTTCACACTTTTAAACTAGTTTGTTGAACTTTAATCTTTCCTTTTGATAGCCCAACTATCCCTTGAGATAAGGAAAAAAACTAGATTGAAAAGTATCCTCATTTGTAGAAATGGCATGAGAAAAAGTAATCGCAGGTGGCAATTTTCTAAAAATGCACAAAAACTTAAAAATCTTGAAAACGGTGATATTTTTACTAGGGTCAAAATTGGACGTTAGGGAGACCATGGCGAGGCCTATCGATGGTTACAGGGTTATCCATTGTTTTTGGGACACCCTGTATATCGATAATGGTCGGTACTTACCGCACACAAGTCTCGCAGCATAGCCGCTAGTTCAATCGCGAGTTGTCCGTCCCTAGGCGGCGACAGTAGAGCGAGCATTCTGCATGCCAATCCCACTTCAGTCGACGAAGGCCTCCGCACTATGTAGTTGCATAGTGTCATTGCCATTACACCTTGGCTGTCGATGACCTAGAAAGAATTCATTCCACTTAAGAAAGTCATTCCAGTCTTTTATGCCTGTATTTAAGAAAGGTAACACACTCTAAAATCTATTTACACTCAAGCATACTATAAAATTCTGTCTTGTGATTAAGCTACAATACTGAATCATAGCCTTGAATTTGTTCTTGAGTAAGAATCATGTTTTGCGTGTTGTTTAAGGCTACAATAAAGTATAACAGTTTTTGATCTCAGTCACAAAAGCTCACATGATATAAGATAACTTCGCTTTAATTCTCAGATAAGTCTTTACTTCGTGATTAACCCTAGTCAGCGACACGATGAAATGAACCACTGCCTTTTGTTGTTACAAAAACCTACACTATAGTAAAGGACTTTCGCCTTAATACCCAGCTACATAAGACTTACTTCGTGGTTGACGCGAGTGAGCGACACGATGAAGCGAACCACTGCCTCTTGGTCGATTTCAGCAAGCGGCGAACTCGAGGGAGCGTTGGCTAGGGCACGCAGTGTGGGAAGCGTTGCTTTCTAGAAATTAATAGATTTAAAATGTATTTTATTTTTGTTAAAACATGGCAGAAAGTGTGAAGGTAAAAATAAGATACAAGCACTCTTTCGTCTGGTATGGCATGCAATTTTCAAATAGGACACATGGGACATTCAAATCATCACATGACATGAAGTTTTTTATGACCCGCGAAGACGCAAACGCATTGTCCTGTACTCCTGTCTTACAAACTACGTCACAAGCATATTCCCAAGTATTTTTTTCTTCCCTGACGGTAGGAAGATATCTTTGTGCTAATATTTAAGAAAAAGTAACTCATACTAACTTGTATTTGCTCCTGTGCACCATCGACTGTGGTAGGGAAAGTTTGGAAGAACACGCCTATTGTTTGCCGCAGCATGTCTTCTTCCACTAAAAATATCCAGAAAGTGTCATGAAACCAATGTCATTAAAAATATGCAAGAGATTTTTTTCATGGATATTACTATTTACCCCTTTTAAATCAATCGTAAAGATGATAGCACTGGGAATGACAGTTGTGTTAACAGCGGAAGAATTTGAAACCTTTTTTGTGGATATATTTATGCTTTTGGTAAACGAACAGGTTTTCAAAATAGTTGTGAGTTTTAGTGAGCGACCGTTAGTGAGCTGCCACACTGGCTGATTGCAAGCGTTTTCAACGGGAACACGCCGCGTAATGCGCAACGTTTCCGCCTAATTTTCGACTCGTGTTCGCGACGTCTCCGCCGCGTCGCCACTCCGTTTTGAAACCGCTTGTAATCCGCCAGTGTAACAAGGCCCATAACTTAATTACACATACCTGTAGCAGGATTGAACCAAAGCAACATAAGCCGGCTGAGTATCGCAGGGGACTCCAGATGGCCCAGATGTAGCAATCGGCACAGACCCTCCACTATTATCAGCCGATACGTTGCGCACTGAAATTACGTACTTATGTAAGTAATCATTAGGTACACATTACTATTTGACATACATGAGCGTCTCACATAAAAAAGGAACGATCAACGGTTTATTGTACATAATACCGCAGGCGCTTGGTAATAAAAGAGATGTAAAAACATACTTTAAGAGCGATTTCTTACTGCATCTAGTCTGGAGTAGCATAAGTATAATTGGTTTAAGATTTGGAAAATCGCCATTATTATTTTAAACTGCACTGTTTAAAAAGAAAAAGTCTTACCGTGCTGTCCATTATTTTCAATAGTAGTTCGATGACGGTACTGTGAGTTGGTGTCAGTGATATCACCGATTCGGATATACTACCTGCAAAAAATTAACTTAATTATCTCACAAATCTCAGATTTATTATTGCAAAAACGCACTTATTACAACTGCGTAAGATGCCATTACATAATACAACTAAATTCCGGTCACCGAGCAGATAGAATTTCGTACAATGACCGCAAGCTACCCATCCTTATCGCTCGCGCGTCATTATATGTCGCGCTCGCACACTCACTGCGACCGCCCGTCGCACAGTCGCGACGAAATAGAGCGATAAGGATGGGTAGCTTGGGGTCATTGTACGAAATTTTATCTGCTCGGCGACCGGACTTTACTAAATCATCTACTCACCATCCTCATCGATCGCGTCTATAGAGTGAGAGTACGTGCTTCGCTTGCTCTTCGCTTTCGACTCGTCTGCGCGCTGCGACTCAGACGCGTCGTCTTCGAAAACCTTCGCACCGTGCACGCAAAGGAGATCCACTATGCACTTTAGTACTGTCGTCACTATTGGCTCGTTTGACGTGTCTATTAGCTGTGGAGAAATTATTACTGTAGGTCTAGGTAAGATACGCGCCGTGGTAAGCTTTTATCGATTTCAACGCGATAAGCCCATACATTTTACGTCTAAAATCATCGATAAGATTTTATCACGGCGCGCATCCTCGCTCGGCTGGTGACTTTTAAGGTTATTGGAATCTAAATCTTATTATTGCGGAATAAATTACGAAGAGTTTTTAGTGCTCGTGACTATAACATTCACATTGGTACTGTGCGTAGTGCAGTTTTTATGTGTATTCTTGCTACTTTTTTGTAGTAAGAAATAGTAGGAGGCTAACTTATCGATATAATTTATTACAAAAAATTGAAAAGAGTACTCACATTAGCAAAGAAGAAAGCTTTGTTTTCTTTCGCAAACTCCTTATCGAGCATACCAAATAACGCCACGGTTTCTAGAGCATTTTCTAGCACTTCTGGGTTTTGGAATATTTCCACCTGTAAGTATAATAAATATTTTTTTATTTGAAAGTATGCAGAGAGACTGCACAGTTCAGAGAAAAGCGCAATTGTTGGAAACGCAAAATATAATCGAATGTCGTGGACATAAGGTGCACTATTCTATTATTTAAATCAAGTCAATTACTTTGCAAGATTATGGGCAGCGCAAGACCGTGCATTGTGGAAAACCTTGGAGGAGGCCTTTGCCCAGCAGTGGACGTCATTTGGCTGAAACAGAACTTTGCAAGATATAAGTTACCTCAGGCCAATCAAATATACATCGAATGCCCACGGCATTACGATCTCTCATTGAATTAAGTTAATGCTTCTAAAGCTACGTACACTCTCATCATGGTCTTTAAGTGAAATATACTTGCCTCTAATTCGTTAAATATCATTCTTAACATTGGAGTCACGGTCTTGAGTTGAGGAGTGTCTAACGCACTGTTGAGTATCGTTAGGCATTTGTTTAAGGTTTCTGCGTCAGACACTTTTTCCATTATTGTCTGAAATACATACAAAAATGATTAAATTGAAATCTGAAAACTCGAGTAAAAGCCGATATACTTATACCGATGCCACTTATCTTTAGTTGCATTCGCAAGATTAAAACAAATGAATTAATGTTAGAATTATCAAAATGGCTGATATTTTTTTTTAATAAATAAAAAAAAATACAGCCCACGCGTTCGATCTCACATTAGCCTCCTCCTTTGCGTATCGAAATCGGGTAAAAAGTAAAACTATCTGAATGCCAAATATCTTTTGTTTTTCATTTAACAAGTTTTTTTTACTTACTGGTATTGGGGCTGGAGGTGGCGGTGTTGGTTGAACGTTCAGATCTTCCAACTTCTTTTGGATGTCTTCCACCTAAAACGATTGTACATTCAATGTCGTTCAATGGGGATGTTGCCTGGGTCAAAAAGCAAGAGTTTTAATTAGTCCGTCAGTTAACTTATCAAAAAATACACTACACGTATTTTTCACTTTTTCAAACTAATGAAAATTTAAAGAGATAAAGCGCCCCAAAGTTCATAAGAAGAGTCAACGCTTGCTTAAAAATGCCGCACGTTGTGACGTCGTGCGCAACTTCAACGCACCATAACTATGTAATTATTTGTTAGATTGACAAATAAAAATATATGTGTCCAATATTTTTTGATATAAAACATTACGGACTAAAAAAATTTTTTTAGGCAACTAGCCTATTGCAATCAAATATGTAAATAATAATAAAGAAAATAGTTTATTTGTTACCTTAGCTTTACATTCGGCGGCGAGAGCGTAGTTTTGGTCTCTGACAGCTTCTTCTTGAGCTTCCATAGCTACATTTAGGGATACGCGAAGTCTGGCACGCTAGAACACATAATTATTTATTTATTTATATTGTAATTGACTTTAAAAATACAGGGTTTAGGGAAACGAGCGCAAATGATTAAATATTGCATTAGGTAGTTAAAGCCCGGTCGCCGAGCACGTAGAACTTCGTCCAATGACCCCAAGCTACCCATCCTTATCGCTCGCGCGTAATTATATTGCTGTCGCGACTGGGCGACGGGCGGCCGCAGTGAGTGTGCGAGCGAGTCATTGGACGAAGTTCTACATACTTGGCGACCGGACTACTTCGCTGCATGAAGTCATTTTTAAATTAAAACTGTCACTAATGTATGGGGCCTTTGATCCTTTCAGTCAGTTCTGGCACTAGCTATACTGATTCTGGATGAACAGTTCTCATAGGATTGTACCACTGAAATCGCTTACGATAGTAATATCCATCCAAAAACTTATGTACGTTATCAACCTACATAAGTTTTTTAAACTGTGCAACATAAAAGTTTCATCTCAAAGAAAATTTAAGAAAATTAAAAAATCTATAACTTCTGACGGGTTAATAATAATCTTTTGGTTTCATACCTGGAGTTTAACTTCAGCGCAATCCACAGGCGGCGGAGGCGCAGCAATCGTTTCTGGTTCGGGCGGGTCTCGCAGGGCCGATATCATGCCGTTGATGATTTCTAATCGGAGCGCCAGGTCTGGCACCACCATTTCGAGGGCTGATACGAACGCGCGTATAACGTCAGAGCTGAGCGGGCCGTAGTCACCTAACGAAAGGTTTTATATATTTATTAAAGTAAAAGATAGACTTCATTGGTGCGCTGGGCCAGTACAATAATGGGAACACAACACTCTTCTAGAAGATAATGTAAAATGCGACTATGCCAGACAAATATGCCATCAGGCATCCTCAACTCGTCAGGTCACCATAGGGAGTATAGGCCAATTCTTCCTTTTGCCTGCCTCTCTCTGGTATATTAGAGAGAATCGTTTTTCTGGAGTGGAGAGTAATGACCTGTAAGCCTAGTCTGCGCGCCATAATAAACTTTTATCGATTCACGTGATAAGCCCATATATTTGTCGTCTAAGGTCATCGATAAGATTTTATCACGGCGCGCATCTTAGCCCGGCTAATGATGATTCAAATAACACTCACCAATGAGCGCTTGAGTGTCTGCCGCGCCGTACACTCGGAGCATGCTCACGAGCTCGTGCAATATGTGCTGGCGAGTACTGAACCTTACACGGGGTGGGCAGGGGGATTCCCCTACGCTATGTGTATAGGGATGACGTAATAGGAAACACTCACCAGTGAGTGATTGAGTGACTATTAGTACCTGCTGCTGTAGAGCCTTAAGCACCCGTAGCTTAGAATTACCCCAATGCTGTTATTGGGAATGACGTAATAGGTAAGACTCACCAAAATTAGTACCTGCTATTGCAGCGCCTTAAGCGTCTTGAATTACCACAATGCAGTTATTAGGAATGACGTATAGATCGTGTCATTTACGAAGACGCGCCCCACCATTCTTCCGCTAATGTTTGAGTGTTATCGGTACACACTATATTATCCATGAGTGCACACGCACCCTATAATAATGACGCTCAGATTGCTCGGATAAAACTCTCCGCACCACGCGCTTCCTTCGACCAAAAAGTGATGGGGTGAGATTCTACTGACCATTATTAGTACCTGCTATTGCAGCGCTTAAGGCCTCAGCCTCGAGTTTAGCGGGCAGCGGGGCGGTAGCGGCGGCGGCGCGGGAGCGGCAGGATCTTATGCGTAAAATCAAATAGACCGGTTCTCGAAAACAGCGGCGCGGGAGCGGGCAACGAGCGGGCAGCGGCGCGGGAGCGTGCAACGAGCGGGCAGCGCACTCCTTTTGCCCACAATAAATCGAGCGTTAGGAATAAATTTGAATCGAAATACAATTGTCGCCGTTGTTCAGATATTTCGTTTGCGAATAAAAACAAATATCTCGACAACACAACCCCGAACACAACACTTCGCCGCTAAAGCGCCGCGCGAGCTGCCCGCTTGTTTCGAGAACGGGTGTGCGTTGCCCGCCCCGCTCCCGCGCCGCCGCCGCTCCCGCCCCGCTGCCCGCTAAGCTCGAGGCTGAGGCCTTAGAGCTTGTCGATTCTATGACGTAATAGGAACACTTGCCAGTGAGCGCTTGAGTGACCAGCGCTTGCAGCTCCTTGCCGCCGGCGGGGTCGGCCGCGTCGTACACTCGGAGCATGCTCACGAGCTCGTGCAACACGTGCTGGCGGGTACTGAACCTTACACGAGATGGGCAGGGGGATTCCCCTACGCTGTTATAAAGGAATGACGTAATAGAAACACAGGCTTAAGGTCACCCAAAAGGCGGTGGAGCATGCTATGCTCGGAGTTTCCCTGCGTGATCGAATCAGAAACGAGGAGATCCGCAGGAGAAAGTGACTGACATAGCCCGCAGAATCGCTAAAATCAAGTGGCAGTGGGCGAGGCACATAGCTCGTAGAGTTGATGGCCGCTGGGGCAGAAAAGTTCTCGAGTGGCGACCACGAGCCGGAAGACGTAGTGTGGGCAGGCCTCCCACTAGGTGGACCGAAGATCTGGTGAAGGTCGCGGGAGGTGCTTGGATGCGGGCGGCGCAGGAGCGGTCTTTGTAGAAAACCTTGGGGGAGGCCTTTTTCCAGCAGTGGACGTCTTTCGGCTGAAACGAACGAAATAAGAACACTTACCAGTGAGCGCTTGAGTGACCAGCGCTTGCAGCTCCTTGCCGCCGGCGGGGTCGGCCGCGTCGTACACTCGGAGCATGCTCACGAGCTCGTGCAACACGTGCTGGCGGGTACTGAACCCTATCGGGTCCGAGCTCTCCGAAGGACAGGGGGATTCCACTATGCTGTTAGAGGAAAATGAACTCTAAAACTTGGTACTATAAGGCACATATTTGTATGATAGAGGTAGGTAAAATTATTCCACTATGCTGTTAGAGGAAAATGAACTCTAAAACTTGGTACTATAAGGCACATATTTGCATAACAGAGGTAGGTAAAANAGGTAAAATTATTCCACTATGCTGTTAGAGGAAAATGAGATCTAAAATTTGCTACCATAAGGCCCATATTTGCATAATAGAGGTAGGTAAAATTATTCCACTATGCTGTTAGAGGAAAATGAGATCTAAAATTTGCTACCATAAGGCACATATTTGCATAATAGAGGTAGGTAAAACTATTTTACTATGCTGTTATAGGAAAATGAGATCTAATACTTGCTTATCATAGGGCACATATTTGCATAGTAGAGGTAGGTAAAAGTATGAAAAAAGCATTTCGTTCAGCATTTATAAGCGGGTATTAGGCCCTACAGGGTCAGAGCTTTCCACCGGACAGGGGGATTCCACTACGCTGTTAGAGGAAAATGGAATCTAAAGTAGTTGACATAAGATCTACAGTGCAGCGTGGGGATTCTATGCTGATAGATGAAAATGAGATCTAAAGTAACGCTTATAAGAGCTAAAGTGGTATTTAGCTTGTAACTAAACTCTTTCTAAAAAACATATAACCTCCTTCTTTTTTTAAGTCGGTTAATAAAAAAGAAAGTTGCTGTGCCCAAACCGGGTCTATGTTTGAAACTATAGATTGTTTAAGAACTTATGTACAACATGGAATGCAATAAAGATATTGACTATTGAGTATTGATCAACTCAGCTAACTTATAAGTGTGATTATTCGTAATAATAAGACACACTTACGCCTTAATATATCCAGTGAGCACCACCAAGTCTGGCAACACAGTTTCCAGCGTCTCATCGTCTTCAATTTTCTGCAAGTGTTCCGCCAGATGGCGCCAGTACCAGGCAGTCTCCTTGTTTAGTTTCTCAGCTGGGATCAGCCGAAGAGTCTTGTCGGTTGGCAGCCATTCCAGCAGTTCGGATATTGGGAGACGTCTAGAAGAAATATACACTCAACATCAAATAAACCGCACCTTCCGCGACGCGAACTTTAAAGAATATCTTCTGACACAATCGTGGTACCCCAACAATATTGGTGTTATTTGAAAGCCCAATAAATATCCTTAAAGACAAATACCTTTCATTTCTAAATAAATGATTAACATATACCATAAATGTGACTTGAAAATAGACCTCACTTTGGGCTCACCTCTGGGATCAATTAGACCAATTATTATGGTTATAAAACCAAATAAAGATCTCACGTGTCCTCTTTAACAGATGGATAGCGATTAATCCCAACTTAACAGTTTTAAAGTCATAAAAAATGGCTATAGCGTAACTACCTATTTTTTGAAGATGTGACTCTGGATCCTTGTAAAGACACATTTTTGGGGTAAAAACCTTTCCTTTAATGAAATGAAGTTTAGAACTCGGCTTTCAAATGGTACCAATGTTGGTGGGAAGTGGGGATGCATACGTTTGATAAGTGCTTGTCGCGGGAGGTGCGATTTATTTGATGCCGAGTGTAGAAATCATTTTAGTAATGGTGCGTCCAGACTGGGCGAACGGGCTTGCGCGGCAAACTCGACATCCTGCTCACTCAATAGCAGGGTGAGCAGGATGACTAGCGTGCCGCGCGAGCACGTTCGCCCAGTCTGGACGCACCATAATAATCATGGGTTGATCGAACTCAGCATGGCTACTTCTGACAATGTTATCCGGAGTTAGGAATGTTTCCATCCCTCTCACGCGTAGTGAGATGCTAGCATGAGCAACAGTGACATATATACCTGAAATTATGTAAACGACGTCGCCTTGCTATTGTCAAGGTGCAATGGCTACTATCATTCATTTCGTTTCCATTTTAACACTGTCTTTAAAATGTTGGTTGAAAAGAATGCACATGATGTCCGAAATAGCATAGTAGGCCTTTAGACTTATGACGTCGTGTCAGACAAAAAGAGGAACTCTTCAGGTAGTATTACAAGCAGTTAACCCTTTAACAGTCATAACATAATCGAAATTTTCATTGTTTTTGGACGTTTAGATAAGTGAATAAGGTCCAAAATATGGTGGGAACTATATTCCCAATGTCTTTTAAAACGTCACAACATTGTTTATAGCTTGACTTAATGGTGTCTGTTCGATCTGATGAATAAACTGGCTCCAAAATGTTATCTACTCACTTGAACAAAGTCTCCAGCAGCTTCCCAGCGACGTACTGCGAATCTTTAGCATCATGAGCGTTGTCCAGCCGTATGGCTTTCAGCAGGTCTATGATGTTGCCTTGGAAAGTGCTCAGCCAACCGGGTACGAGGATCTCTTCGACCACTCGTCGCACGCGCTGACTGCGTTCGGTAAGTCCGACCTTGAAAAGTTAGATAATTATTTTTATTTGTTGCCCGATCCACTGACAGAGGAGTGAGTGAGAGCGAGGAGTTAGCCAGGTATCACGTGTAATTTATTTTAAACTCATTGCTTGAGAGAATACTTAAAAGAGGGATGTAAGAACGGAGGATAGGGTGAGATCAAAAAATCTAGGAAATATATCAATTAGGCAGTGGAAGAATTGAATGAGCTAAAGCGACTACTAAAGTAATTTGTTGAATAATATGACTATGTTTTAAACTATCATGTAAATTCAGGATGTGTATTATGTGCATAGCAAAAGAAAGTTGCTGAATATAAAAAGTGCCGAACAGTGCACACAAAATAATCTTTATTTACAGAAAGAAACCCTACTTAAGTGATAGAGGCTTCATCTACGTCGCATAGCATCGAGTACATACGGCACGTTCCGCGTACACTTCGCTAAATAATAAAAGGCATAATTTTAAGTTCATCTCATATTCAATTCATGTAGGTATTCAGTTAAAGCTAAATAAGTATTATGTTATTTATTAGTAACCTAAATTGTTTATTTATAGCGTCTGTATTAGAGGAAGGCGGTAATGACTGCGACACAGTCTTTGACTACTGCAGTCATTAACGTTTCATTTTGTCTATGCAAAATTGTAATTGGCTACAAATAAAGTTTTATTATTACTTCGCTAAGTAATAATAAAAGGCGTAATTTCCTCTACCTTAAGGGTCAGAACTCTCTGGCGGACTCTGAGCTGCGTGACGTTGACGCCGGCTATGTAAAGGAACGCGGCGCGCCTGACCGCTTCATCTACGTCGCATAGCCGCTCTAGGTACATAAAGCAAGTTCCTAAATAATAATAAAAGACATTGTTTCCTCTACCTTAAGGGTCAGAACTCTCTGGCGGACTCTGAGTTGCGTGACGTTGACGCCAGCTATGTAGAGGAACGCGGCGCGCCTGACCGCTTCATCTACGTCGCATAGCCGCTCTAGGTACATAAGGCAAGTTCCTNGTGCAGAGGAAGGCCGAGCGTGTATTTTGAAGTGAACCTGCTGCCCATACAAGTTTAAACGGGCGCTGGTGCATCACCGCTATGACTTGGAGTTGCTGGCTGGGTCCTGCATTGAAAAACCCAGGAGGCCGCCGAGCACACGGGCTCGTGGCGCGGCGAGTGGACTCCAGGGGCTTGCGGAGCATTCTTGGAGGATGGCGAATCTTCACTTGACATGCAAATACGGCCTCTGTCAGTTTCTGGCTTTGTCCAGGCAGACGCTGACTGGTTTTTATTACCTGAAGCGTAGTGGTGACTTTGACATGCAAATACGGCCTCTGTCAGTTTCTGGCTTTATCCAGGCAGACGCTGACTGGTTTTTAATACCTGAAGCGTAGTGTTGATTTTGACATGCAAATACGGCCTCTGTCAGTTTCTGGCTTTGTCCAGGCAGACGCTGACTGGTTTTTAATACCTGAAGCGTAGTGTTGATTTTGACATGCAAATACGGCCTCTCATATACCATAAATGTGACTTGAAAAAAGACCTCACTTTGGGCTCACCTCTGGGATCAATTGGACCAAATTTTATGGTTATAAAACCAAATAATGATCACACGTGTCCTCTTTAACAGATGGATAGCGATTAATCCCAACTTAACAGTTTTATAGCCATAAAAGTTGGCTCAAGCGTAACTATCTATTTTTTGAAGAAGTGACTCTGGATCCATCTAAAGAAACATTTTTGGGGTAAAAACCTTTCCTATAATGAAATGAAGTTTAGAACTAGGCTTTTGAATGGTACCAATATTGGTGTGAAGTGGGGATGCATACGTTTGAAAGTGCTTGTCGCGGGTGGTGCGATTTATTTGCTGTCGAGTGTATATTATAGTATATATATATTATGAGTACATATAATATATAATATGCAACTTGGAGTTGTCGCGCGCTGTAGGTCGGCATAGGCGAGTGACGGAGGCCTGCTTATAGTTAGTTTATGAAATTGTTTGTTTATCTTTTAGTTTGTACGTATATCCTAAGCTATTGTTACAAAATATTGTATTTAACTATCTCACGTAAGTGAATTACAATTCTTGTGAGAAATAAATAAAGATCTTAAACCACATATTATATTCATAAAAGGAATGGTTGGTACCCCAAAATGTGTCTTTAGAAGGAAGGAAGTGTTGCTTCTTAAAGCGACAGTGACACTTGAGTCAACTTTAAATTGCTAGACACGAGAGATCATTATTTGGTTTTATAACCACAAAACTTAGTCTAATTGGTCGCAGAGGTACATAGGCTTTTTTATGGTTATTGTCGCGCGATTTTTTTGACGCCGAGTGTAGTTGCTACTGCGTATTTATTTCACAGTAACTATGAGTTAAATAATATTCCCTTCGAGGGCTATTTAAATTCGAGTTGAGACATAATGTAGAGTAGGAAGGTCATTAATGGTTCGTTAGGTATTTCGAAACAAATGCCTTGCATTTATGAAGGTATTGACTCAATATTAGTAATGAGGGAATAGATTATTGCCCCCTTCCTGGCGGTTGCGATATGTGTTACATTTTAACGTAGGTCGGTTAGATACAGTCATAATGTTGCGATGAGCAAAGCCTTCAGACTTCCAAATCAAGCTAAATATCCATCAAAACTTATACATTTTTCAGTGGCGTCAATATACGTAGTAAATTATTTATGCCAGGCTAAATATGATAATGCTTCAACTAAACCAACTCGTGCAGATCGCCATCGCCGGAGCGATCACGTCGCGATCACATAGGGAAATGACAGGTCGCGTGAACTGTCATAGGTCGCGCGACCTGTCATTGGCCTTTGATCGCGCCGCGGCCGGTGGTTGAAGCTTTGGTAAAAGTTCAATGGACCGAAAAGCCCCGCAATTACTTACTATCAGCCAGAAAACAAAAGAAAAACATTTTGACGTCTCTCAAGAAAATGCGGAAGGTAGGTACGCGTTGTTGCGATCGCAATTTCAAAAACGTAAGACAGTAGACCAAATAAAAACTAGAAAAATAAAACTATACGACCTCACCCAAGGAACAGTGACGTAGATGCTCATGCGACCCAAGGTTAATGACCTAGCACCACAAGATTCTTTACACTCGATAAGTAGATCAATTGGTTAATAAACAAGCCATTTTCGCGAATACTTGTCATTAGTCAATTTGTTACACTGATTAATGTTTGATAATTAGATCTCTCTATTTTTGGATTCATATCTAACGATAGACATAATTAAATATTTTGATATTAAATTATTCAACACATCATTAGTGTAATTACTTAATAGAAACAAGAAATGAGTAACAAAGCAAACGAATAAGTTTTTCGTCTATAACAATAAATACCCAAAGCATTCATTCCTATTAGATAGGTAGGTACTACTTCTAAAATAGCAAATAGCAGCTGTAAATGTAACAAACCTTGCTACAAACTCTGAAATTGGCAAGGCATTTTATTTACAAGTGTTAGATCATGTAGAAATTACAAGTGACATCCACGAGCCAGTGGATAGAGTTTTCAGAGTCAGAGCTTCTGGGTTTCATGACGCCTAACTTGGATGCAAGTTTGGATAGGATAATGTATGTTTAAATTAATCTGATTATCTAAATATATAAAAGGAGAAACTGACTGACTGACATATCAAAGCACAGCCTAAACGGCTAAACGTAGGCACTTGAAATTTGGAAGGGACGTAGCTTAGGTACCGTAGAGGTGCACTAAGAAAGGAAATTCCCACGGGGACGGGCCTCTGAGAGGGTAAAACGGGATCCACGCGTACGAAGTCGCAGGCGGCCGCTAGTACAAAAATAAACATGTAAAGCCATCCAGCGCTCGTATAGAGTTGTCAGACGCCTGAAGATCTTATAAAGTCTGACACTAAAGTTGTGACCTCAGATGTTTCAACCTACACGATATAAAAATAAAGATGGAACAAAAATAGCGTTATTTTAGTCTCCAACTGTGGGTGGTAAAGCATGTCGATCAAACTCTACTTTGACGTCAACATAACGGCTCATCCCAATCGTCTAGCTAGAGGACGTAGATATNTAAATAAATAAATAAATAAAAACAGGTCCTCGCTCAGCATATGCCAATTGCCAAGGCACGAAGAACCTCGACGCTGATATTCTGCGAGCACCGTTTATAGAGAGGGCGTCCAGCCAGCCTTACAAAATACAACAAAAAGACAAACAAATTTATAAAATTACAAAATAAAAACAGACTAAAAACTTTTCGTTCACACCTTTGAAATACGTATTCAATTAGCATAAAAAAAAATTCAATTGCCTGCTTAATTAATGGTTTTCGTACAGGAAAGTCACTTACAGTAGGAGCCATTTCACTAATATTTGGAACACAATTACATTTAAAATTACACGTCTATCTGCTACCAGTACCGGGGGTGAAGTGAAGTATGTGAGCGGCAGGGAAGTGACGCGTGGCGGACGCGCCGCGCCTCAGGCCGCTTGCTATAAACTAGTATAAATCGGTTTAAACCATGCGCGGGACGCGCCGCGCCTCAAGCCGATTGCCATTCTACACTATCGGTGTGCACTCACACAAATGCAATTCTCAGCTTAAGTTGAGAGGACTGTACCTATGTAGATGCGATTTTTTGGGACCTTACTTTTTGTCGAAGCCTTTTCTTTTCGACGAAGAAGTTATATGCGTATGCTGTCCAATATTGGATGGATAAAGGGTTCTTGACGGCCGATGGGGCAGCAAGGTTCTGGAGTGGAGGCCGCATACGAGTAAGTAGCGTGGGACGTCCACCAACAAGGCAGACCGACGATTTTATGTAGCAGGAAGGCGCTGGACGCAGGTCGCTACCATTCGATGAACATGGAAATCATTGGGGGAGGCCTATGTTCAGCAGCGGACGTCCTTTGGCTGAAATGATGATGATGATGATTTTCTTGCACGATTTATTCATAATTAAATACCGGTCCTGTGCTGCTAGCACCCAGGAGCTTTACGCGACCTTCAAGAAATTGTCGATCCATGGAATGGTCTCCTAATATGCGTTTTCTGGTCTGTGGACTTTTAATTATTTTAAAAGATTTCCAAGAACTTCTCACGGATCACATAGCAGGATCTGTTTCAAGCTACTAATAACATAATTTATTTACTATATTATTAACCACAGTTACATATTTTATGAATGCGTAGTAGGTGTAGGTACACTCGCTTAATAGAGCAGTTTACATTCCAATTATAAGTAGCAATTATAGTAATTAAATTGATAAATTACTTTGCATGTAAAGAAAATTTAATTGCAATCACTTATTTTTATTGTGAAATGACAATACATTAGTATGCGACAGTCGAAATTATGTTTTTGCATAAAAAATATAGCACCATGTTAATGGACGCTAATAATAATGAATTAAATTAAATTCATTTATGATTTACACTACATACCTACTCGTACAAGGCGACAGCAAGTCTTTAACATCACAGGTTGTTAGATACAATTACAGATGCAATTTAAAAGAAGATTAATCATCATCATTTCAGCCACAGGATGTCCACTGCTGAACATAGGCCTCCCCCAATGACTTCCACATCACCCGGTTGGTAGCGGCCTGGCATCCAGTGCCTCCCTGCTAAAAATAAGAAGGTTAAAAAGATAAAGAGAAAGAAAAAGATCTTGAATTTTTTTTGTGATTTAACAATCAGCCAGTAGAATATTTATTGTTATAACGAGACCATTTCAATGAGGGTGGTCTTCGCCCACAGCATGTCATAACTTAACCTGCTTTACATACCGACCGATTAAACATAAAACATAATACACTCGACCTCAAAAAAAATCTCACCTTTCGCGAAAAACACTTTCAAACGTAGTATCCCCACTTTCCACCAATATTGGTATCATTTAAAAGCCTAGTTCTAGACTTCATATCATTAAAATAAAGGCCCTACAAAATGTGTCTTTAGAAGGAAGGAATTGTTGCTTCTTTAAAGCGACCCTTGAGTCAACTTTTATGATTATAAAAAATATTATTGTCATCCATCTGTTAAAGAGTCACGTGAGAGTTTACTTATAACCACAAAAATTGGTCTAATTGGGCCTAGAGTTGAGGGGCAACATGGCTTTTTTCAAGTTATTGTCGCGGACGGTGCGATTTTTTTGACGCCGAGTGTAGTTGCTACTGCGTATTTATTTCACAGTAACT